GGTCACAAGATGCCATTTCCTCTCTGTCAAATTTCATATTTCACTTTCCAACCGTCTGCGGCACTTTGAAGGTCACTCTGTTGCTGCTCCAGATCGAACAGGCGTGCTTCAAGTGTCGTCAGTCTTTCCCGATATTCCTGTTTTCGCTTATCCGCTTGACGTTCATTGACTTCAAGTTCATTTTCCATTCACTGACACGTCTCCTCAAAGTTGACGTGGGACTGTTCGGTGACGGTGGTCGTACACTGATGACCTTTCCAGTTTTGTCCGTTCAATGAGGTGCTCCGGTATGTCCTTGAATGGTATCATACCTTCAGCCCGGTCAGCTTCCTTCATGGCAGTTTGAAAAGACATATTCATCGTTGCTTCATCATCCGTGAAGTAGGACTCGTTCGATTCGTCTGAGACCATTGAGTTGCCCAAAGGTCATCACCTGCGGTCTTATCGTCCAATGAAAGGTCATCCAGTCCCAGTTCAGCCAAATTCTCTTCGGTGACCTTTATGTTTCCATCTTCCACTTGGGCCAGGTTTACATTTTTATCCTGCTCGTTTGTTCCGCTGGTGGTAGCATCCAGCTGTGATGCTGCCACTGCTTCCGCTCTTCTTTCTGTGGATTTTCCTCCCCAGTGACCTTTGTCTGGTTCATCGGGTTATCTCCCGCCACAGGTACGAGAGTTTCCTTTCCGTCGCCGCTGGAGCTCTCTTCATTCTGTGTAGCCCTAGCGCCACTTGATATGCTGTCACTGCCTTTACTGTCCTTCCTTGCAAAGGTCACGGCCGCTCGGGTCTGTCTATCATGTCCGACTGGACGCGCGAGCGACTTGTATTCTTTCTTATAGGGATCGATTACGCTTTTGTTGTGATCCCCGGGAGCTCCTGCTTCCTGACTGCTGGTAGATGTCGGTTCCTCTTAGTCTTTGTCCATGTTGATCGGATAACTTGGACGCTCCTGCCAATTGTTCTCACACGCGTTATTGTATGGTTTATGATTGTCCTAAAGGTCACTTTGTACCTCGAAATTTTTTCTAAGTCCTTTGTAAAGGTCACTTTTCGACTGAAAAATTTCGGCTAAGTTCCGTCTAAAGGTCACTTTTTTGATAAAAAGTTCGAGAGATTTGCCCTAAAAGGTCACTTTCGGACAAAACTTCGAAACCGTTCTTACAGTTCATAACACGTTAACGAATGAATTCCTACAGCTGCTGATATCGCTGTACTACTAATCAACTCGATCCAACTTTGTGAAAGGTCACTGTTGATCACTTTCAGATCATAAAGGTCACTAAGATTGGGTCAATTTGATCAATTCCAACTTTTTGGTAAAGGTCACTTTTCAAAGTCAAAAGTCAACTTCTGGTCTCAAAGGTCACTTTCTGACTCAACTCAACTCGAAAGGTCACTTTCCAGCTCAATTTCTGTTAAAGGTCACTTTTAAGCTCAATTCGATCAAAGGTCACTTTTCCTTTGTCTCAACTCAAAAGGTCACTTTTCGTCTCAATTCTCTTATCTCAAATCAAATTTCCCATTACAGCTAGAGTTCAGCGGAAAATCCCCATTCGGGTTGTTTACGTCTTTCTGATTGGTCTGCTAGCTCAAAATATTCAGTTCAAATTTCAGCCAATTACAGCTCAGATAACTGACCAATAACAGTAGTCCATTTAAATTTTATATCTGCCTGACGTCACGGTCAACGGCCAGACGTGCGCGCCGTGTGCAAAACTCCGCCTACTTTTACGCTCAGCTCAGTACGGACCAATGAAAATTACCAATTTTACCGTTTAACCAATCCCGTAATTAATAACGGGTTTTCTACCTGTTTCCTCGTCCGTTCCACGAGAATCGATCCAGATGATCCAGATTCTTCTTCCACTGTCCGTTCCCGCGCTGCCGCCGGTTTTACCGTAACGGTTGTGCCGCACGCTTTTGGTGGGTTACTGTGCCGGCTGACTGCCGTAGCAACAGTAGTGGCGCTCTACTCCAGTTTGGAGGAGTCTGATCTGTCTTTTCCCGTGCGCCCCTTTTGGCGCTTCGCCGCTTGTGGCCCACGGCTTAGGCTTCGCTGAAGCCTTGCCGAGTAACGGTGACACCAGTGCAGGTCTTCGCTGAAGACACCGCACCGAGGAACACCGCCGACTGAACTCTTGAACTCTTTCACAGCAGTGGAACAGCACAGGTCTTCGCTGAAGACACTGTACCGAAACCAAGGCTGGTAATCCCGTCCGATGAGGAACTTGCACCGCTTGTGGTGTTGCGCTTTGCTGTCGGATAGACCTGTGCCTTACTGGTCGGGTTTCACGTCAAATAACAGGCCAACTTTGCCTGACACAATTCAAATCAGAGAACCGCTGTCGGCTCTGCTACCATCTAATGCTAGATCCAACTGTGATCCAGATACGGAGACCTAAACGGAATAGATCCCGTGGAAGCGAGCGATACGATATGGATCGCGAGCTATGCGGAAACACAAACGTCGCACCGTAAATCGCTGACTTTTTAATATTGAAAAGTCTGTGTAACAGAAAAATCAACAACTGATCGGCGCAGCTCGATCGTAAAACGTAGAGCCAATTCAACAGCGTGCAGCGCTGTGCAGCACGTGCTATGCCGCGCCCACTATCAGAACGCAAGCCAATCACAAGAGACACAACACAGACACGTAGTCCAAAGGCGTAGCGCCACAGGCGTAGCGCCACTGACGTGAACGCTAGTGATCCCGGTCTCACAGACCAAACAAATGACAGCGTAAACACTTACGCGCATTGCCGGTATAACCAGGACCGGTATAACCAGTGCCGGTATGTCCAGTGCCGGTATAACCTACACCAGTATAACCACTGCCAAAAGTACTGATATTGCCGCGATTAGCAACAGCATTACCAGGCATAATCATAGTCAAACGGAAAATCTCATTATCAGTGCGCTGCCAAATCGAACAATCATCAGGATGCATACGAGCAAACATCCGAAATTGCTGGTCGTAAGCGAGCCACTGGCTAATGTGATATTGACGCTTTGGATTAGCCATACTCGCAATAATACTCATATACTTCAACAATGGGTGCTGCAACTGAGGGAAGTAATGCGCCCGATAAGACATAAACACAAAGAACGCTTCACACCACTCTGCAAATGAAGAAATTGGCGCCAATTTGCCACGGGATGAATCACCGCGGTCATGAGAATCCAAATTCTGATTAACCAACAACAGCTCACTAAAATGAACAAACTTGGTGCGATCACGCAATTCACGTTCAACTCTTGAAGGAACAGACGGTAACTCAAAACCCAATCTCGCCGCTATTGGCAAACGTGGAAACTGGACAGGATGGTGTTGTTCCGATACAAGCAAAACACTGTCCCGGGATTTATTTGGAGAAACTGACTGTGTACGTGAAGGAAGTTGAGATGACAACACCTGCGACGTGTGATTGTCCAACTTCCGTAATTCATGACGCAATTCCGATTTAAGGCGGAGAAGTCGGTCTAATGACTCACCAGAACCAACGGAATGACGCTTTGAATCGCGTGACGTAGATGCTTTGCGCTTATCATTTACTTGGTAGCGCGTAGAACTGGAGTGACTGGACGACGGAGGAGGAGAACGCGTAACCGACCGGGATGTGGATCTGGAGCGCGAACGGCTACGAGACGCATCTGATCGGCGGCTGGTTGATTGTGAGACAGCACGACGAGACGGCATAATGAACAAACAAAATTATTGATCCTCAATTAAGAAAACATAAATCGGAACTTCGAGAAATTGATCGTATACTGTATCTCAAACCGTGAGTCTTCCAGATGGCAAGTTGGCCGAAATTATCTGCCTGTTGAGTTCTTGGTCGATCGTAAGAACGACTTGTTAAATGCAGAACATCTTTACTCCAATACGCCAGCAACTCAAATGCACTAACAGAAATGCACAATCACTACAAATGCAACGTCCACCACCAAAACTGCATTGCTTATACAGCATCGGGATCTGCCTCGCAGGACACACCCTAATGGGTTTTCTTGGCTGGACACTGGTCAACCAAGTCGTCCAGCCTTGCGAACACCTCCGCTGCGTTAACCGGAATTAGCTTTGCTAATTCTATTTTGCCACACTTGAACAAGTAATGTCACTAATGTGTATCTAGGAAGGCTGGACTGCCGTATACGTTTTTTCAATGCAAAACATTCTTGCAGGAATTTTGGCTCACAGATGAAAATTGATGATCATTGGACTTTGTGCCGCGATAGACATCGGCACCCAAGCTTTTTTCGAACTGTATAAACAGATGTATTAAAATAATTAGCAGCAGGTTAGATGAATCTGTATACACCATTTGATTGCAAACGCTTGTCATGTGCATAATAAATGCAGTACTTAACTCATACTGCATATTAAAATTAATGCGTATAAGTAATAAGCCTGTTAGCGCAGACTTCCAGGCAGAAAATTGATTGATTGTAAGGTTTGCTGACACTTGTTGCTTTATACATAATAATAATTCGACGGGATTATCCACTTTGACACTTATATTACGAGAGTGGAAATTCATATGTTAACAAGAGTATGCATTTGTGTGACAAATGGGAGAAATTAAGGTACCTACTTCGTACGAGAACATTAATGTTATAACAAATAATTTCAGCTTAAAGCGACACCACAAAATTACTTTAGTCTGTGAATCCCTCGCATAACTGTACGTTTTAAGCCTTTCCAGTATAATATTAAATTAAATCCAAATGAAAAATGTGTGGTACAATGTACCACACAGGTTAACCGGCTACAGCTTATCTTCGAGGTCTTAAGATCATGATGCATAAATAGAAGCCATTGTGTGTCAAAACGCTAGCAATTGTTTAACCAGAACGCGACAGAGTTAGGTAAATATTGTGCATACATGATACAGTGCTAATCGTAACGATTAATACATAAGATTTACTAGAATAGTGGATGATTTAGGTTAACTACAAAAGCTGAAAAAAAGCTCAACAACGAACTGTAATATCATGGTAAGCCAAGTTATGGGGATAACCGGAATTAAGCGCACTACAACTTGTACCGCGAATAATTTTGATTATTTCCGAGTATCGACTACAGACTGGGTAAGCATAGAAAAATCCTTTACAAAGAATTAGCGAACAGTGCGTAAGGTACGGAAAATCAGCGTCGGCTTTTTGTTGGCACCATTCTAGCGAAACCGACAACGGTGCTTACCTTTTAGCACCTAACGTACTGTCTTTGCATTAACACTGAATTTGCAACATGTATCTGCACAGCGAAGAAAAAATTCGATCTGCGTCTTCCCATAATATAAAATCCGTGGAACCGTGAAAAATTTTCTGCTGAAAGAAAGTTTGCCGCAACTGTCTGCAAAAGTTAACCGGGACCGGCACCGTCAGGAGCGCCCGGACAACCGCCTCCGGGGCATGGATCCGCTGTGGTGAGTGCTTGCTGTGGAGTGTCAGTGCGGTGGGATCGGCGTTCCCGGTTCACTGCAGGAAAATTGCGGGATTCGGCTGTAACCATATGATTCTCGTCTTGTACGCGCATACTTTGTTCGTATAAGTATAACTCCCTGAGGTCAACTCAGAAAATAAAAATATGAGAATCACGCAGGAGTACTTACGAGCGTAAACTCCGTCTGCTCCGCTTCCCAAAGCGCCGCTGACCTTTATTGGCAGATATTTCAGCATAATATTCCTATAATCTTTTCAGTTAAGTTCAGTTCCAGTTAACCTCTCCAGTTGAACAATGATGCTAATACTGCAGTATCACCATACACACATGCCGTGGTATCAATCGTATCATACAATAAATGCATCTGTATCGGGCGGTGTAAAATACGGTACCAGTTTGTATTATTTTTAATATCAATTTTTAGTGTTTTATTGAAAACAAGCTGAAGCAGCAAGTACAGTACTTACTTTCTTTCGTCGTCCTCATAAGAAGAATAAGTCGAACAGGTTTTTGCAACTGCAATTACGGTAGTTTAATATTAATTGCAAAATGAATGTCATAAATTAACAAGATGTTTGCCTTTCCTGTGCCATATAATTACTCTGCTAAAGCTTACCACAGAGAATCCATAGAATGCAGTACAAAGCTGCAATACACAGAGCTCGCATAATGGATGTATGAATTTGGCACACCAACGTTATCCTTTAACGTGGATAGAATGTTCTTATTCTAAAGCAAACCGTCTTGAAATGCTTTTACCTGTTTTCATTTCACTCACAACTAGTACTTCTGCAGCAGATTTTCAATATCGATGCGCTTGTGGTGTTGTAACCGTTTCGGTTCACTTTCCCACGTTGACCTTTGGAATTCATTCGGTAAAATCATGCATTGTGGCAGAGTAAACGGATACTCGCGACTTCATACATGTGCATGTTTGCGCATTTCGTGCTGCTGCCTGCTGGGTATGTGTGCTGGAAGTACGCTCTCAGTCCACGTTTCTAAGAATTAATAATTTTTGAAAGCTATTTGGTTGTTCAGTCTACGGCACAGCAGTTGTGTTTTCCGGCTATCGCCGGTACCTGCTTTAATAACATCAATAATTTTTCAGCATATACGTTGTATTCGGTGCAACAAATGTGCTGTTTAATGATTACCCACCTTCTAAATTGATTTGGACCGAAATTTTTCGATTTTCGAGCAACAGGTTCAGGTTGGCGAGTGAGACCAGATAATTCCCATTTTTGCAGACAAAGAGTGAAAGGGCCGTTTTATACCGTACAAGGAAATGGCGTGCCGTACTCTATCGCGTACGTCGGAAGTGGCTAATTGGTTATTAGTTACTTACTATTTATACAGATAATACGACACAATGATGCTGTGATGACCTTTAATTTAGCGTTATTCGGGGCTGTCCAGCGCTTAAGAAAGTGATCATATCTTATCTGAATTGCGCTGCTGCGCTGCTCAACTACAATGTTAAAATCAAATAATAACAGTTGGCTTACAAAATTTCAAGCAGCGTGCTTGTGCGATGAGATCTCTGTAGCCATTTAATTTGTTCGCCATCCTTCCGTACAGATGTTTGTATGATTATGTAGTGTATGACTGTACGTATTGGTACAGTGACGTACGAGTGCAAAGTATCTCGTGAATTGTTGTCCTGTGGCTATGGCTAATGTGCCGTAGCAACGGCGTACCTATTGTCCATTGTTGTCGCCTTGTTTAGCGATCAGTTGGCTGGTTGGCTCGATAGCGAGCACCGCCGCTACATACATCACAGATTATGACCAACTTCGCTAAATTATCAGACGGTTATGACATCTTTTAATATTCTAGTCAGCAGCCTATAAAACACAGGAATTGTCTGCACTTATTTGTAAATTTACCGTGCCATAGCAGCCCAGTATTCAGCCTACTAAAAGATCAGCCGGGTCCGCCCCCGCTTGGTGCGCCAGGGTTACATCCGCGACAGTTATTGCATTCCGAGCACAGAGGAGCTCCTGTCGTCGACTTTGGTGTAGTGTATGACTTGTGTCTCTTGCTTCCAGCAGGTGCAGTAGTTTTAGGCTGAACTACAAATTTAAATTTTAAAACAAATGCAAAAATTCTTGTTCCCGTATATGAAAACGAAAAATAAGATCTCTTACCGGTCGTGCTGTTACCCTTGGACAGGTGTTTTCTTTTCCGATCCTAATTTGGCGTCCGCGCTTTACGGTGGGATATTATAAAAAAATAGTGTTAGAAGCTTAAGATACTGTATTGCAATGTGATATGGACCAGAAGCCAAAGCACGCACGCAGTACAGTGCTGAATTCGTCGTGCGTACCCGACGTGTTGTTTTTTCTTGCCGTCTTTATTATTAGGCTCGCTTCTACTGCACGCTAGGAAAGCTGCAAAAATAAAAAGTTGATTGCTAGTCCCACTTAAAAAACATACTTAGTAACTACCCATGTAAATGTTATCGGTTTGTTTAATGTTAGTGGAAAAGGAAAAACTGGGAATCTGTCACAGTATAATATAAGCTTTTGTAGTATTGCACATACTCAATATTATAACGAAGATAACAAGGGCTGCTCTGAAATGATGTTCCTGCATGGTAAGCAGATAAAGTATCTGCAATAAAAAAAGTATAAATATTGCTAATGCAAAAGATGGATATATCTGTAATCCTGTTGCAGTATGGCGGACACACTTCATGTGTACCTGCCTGTATACGTACCAGTCGGCTCTACCGGGCGAACTCAAAGATTCTTGCTTTTTCAGTTTTCCGGATAGCTAAACGTTATAGATCACCAAGTTGGATCCAAGTTAATTTCCTGTAGAGAGTGCTACGCCAAAAGCGTAGCGTCGAGGTACAGCAATTGTGAACGGCTTAAAATATTTCTACCCATGTTTCTAATCATATTTTACCAATACAGAACAGCATGACATCGAATGCGGTTAAATACAGAGGCATGTCGCGCAAAAAATCCAGAAAAATAACCCACCTGGCATTCTCTAGCTGTATCAAATTTGAAATGTGCTTGTGAGTCAAACCAGTTGCAGCCGTGAAAACATAACAAACATTCTGGAATTACGGAATTTGTTACTTTACATTGGCCTGCGGCAACTTTGGAAAAACCACCTGATTATTAATTCATCCCTGGATCTTTATTTTTGGTGCTTACTTCTAAATCATTAATTACTACAACGAATTGTGCAAAGACAATAAACATCACACCAAACTATACAGAATCAGAAATTGACTGAACGAATTTATCTTGTTGTATTACGTACAGTAATTTTATTGCGAAAGATTTTTCAGTTAATTAAACTGTCAACGATCAAGTCAATCCGTATTGCACCGCGTACCCTATTCTAAATCTATTTTTTATTCTGGACTGCGGAACCACAGGAACTTTAACAGTTTAACCACGCTTGCGCATAGATTATCGGCGTTGTATTTATTGATATCAAACCTATTCAATGGACTTATGGCTAATCACAATCGTATCGGCTTAATGAATCCGGCAGCCTCCGGGCTAAAATTGTACTCGGATCTTTCCATAATCATACTCCGTATTTTCTTCTAAAATGGTTAGCCCAGTCTTGCAGCACATCGGCCGCATTCTTCAACCCGGGCCCCGGCCGCATTCTGCACAACAGCTCGATCATGCGCTAACCCACACCTGCTCCGGTAGCGACAGCTGGATTGATGGGAGGCTTGAGGACACATTTGTTTCCGATCATGTAGCACACCGTTGCATTAACTTTAGGTTTGTAGGTGTTATGTCTGTGGGAAACCTGTGATACCCGGGTTTGATCTGAAGCCGGTGCAAATTTTCGCGAATGACCTGCAACAACACAAACTTTTAGATTGGAATAACTTGTGTTCATCAGCCACGGGAAACATTTTAACCCGAAGTTGGATGCTACATATATATTCCGTTATATCTAAAGAACTGCTTACTTTTACTCGTATTTCTGTTGTGTTTGCGGCTGGTTCTGTTTTGAGCAAGTGGTGCCGTCAAGGCTGATCTTGTACTGAAAGCACGTTACAAACTCATACACCGCATCAAAAATCATTTACAAGTTCCACAGATATATATTTAGGCAGAACTTTTGCTGTAGACGTCTAATATTAATATAGATCTAAGCTTTTGTTTACCTGCTATGATGCGTTTGATGATTTACCTCGACGGACACATTGTATTCCACAAATACTATAGAAGCAAGTGTACGTTAAATTTATGTACTTCCGAAGTACTCCTTAATAATCCTTATCCTACTCATAATTAGAAAACATGCTTAGAATGATACAATCTTACTCGTCCACATACTCATAACCTTACTAATAATCGGAAACTTATACTCATACTGATGTCAGTCATAATCATACCTTGGTCCTACCGGCCATCAAATTTTTCTTCATAATAACATAATCATGGCTCATACCCGCGGTAATTTCTCACAAAGATTCAACAAGCAAAGTATTTCGAAGGAAGTTCCATTATTTATATTATCAGTCACTTACAGAGTAGGTGTATGGCATTAATTATTACATCGAGCTGTTTCTGCCATTAATCATATTAGTGATGTAAAAGTACACATATTAGGCGCAGATAGAGGATGCACTAGAAGTACCTAAAGTTAAGTAGATCGCGATAAAAAGTGTAACACAAAACTGCTTCTGCATGGTCTGCGGCAGATCAGCAAGCTTCCGGTACCTTCGTAGAAGACAGTTAACGGAAAATATTCTGGAGCATGCTGCAAGCAAATAATCGAATAGTGAGCACGATGTCACATGTTGAAGACTAATTATGCCCGGTACTGCGTAGTTAAAATAAAATTATAATAACATTTTTTGCAAAACACACTAAGTATCGGATTACAATTCAGAGCAATGCACTTGCAGGCACTTACAGGAACTTCGCGATTCGCGAATAGGAGTAAAAAATAGCTCCTGTTGCAGTTAGAAAACTGCAGATAAATATTGTGCAGCCCATTGGCTCAAGGCAGTTTTCAAAACTACAGCGAACGGTTGTAAATAGTGGTCTGGCTTAACAAACCGAGTTTTTGTTGTGATATAAATCAAAACAGTGTATAATTGAGCGCATATGCACGTACCGAAACAAAAATATGCTGACGGGAATTCGAAGTCATCGGCAACCGATTATGCGAAGGTGAATCGGCAGTTGTAATCATTTCCCTGCCGAAGATTTTGGCCTATGAAGGAAGCACTTTGAATTACAGATGGCGCGTTCGTTGTATTCAACTTCAAGTATAATACGAGTAGCAAGCTCAGCTAATTGATGAACCGAATTCGTAGGTGGATTATGATGTTTTGCATCTGCATTTTATCCTGCCCAATGACAATCACGGCTGATCAGTCAGGATGCTTGCATTAAACTTAACGATTTTTCATAATTACAGTAAAATAACCATGACCTTTTGATGATGCAGAACTTGCTAATAACAAGACTCCGCGATGATGCCTTAAACATGCTAAACTAATTACACTTTAATGCACAATTTTATTTTAACAGCATTATACCATCAAACGCTTAAAACACATTAAACGTCGAGGAACATGATGGACCGACAAACACTGAATCAAATTTTTACATGTGTCACTTCGGTAGCATTGTCATCAAATGATTGGTGCAAGCTGATTATCCTGTCGCTGGTTTTCTTTTTAGATAAAAGATCACGGTCTTTATCCAGAATTACCATCGGGGCTTCGGCCGAATCTCGCACTTTCAAGCTAGCAAATTTCTTTCCAACTTGGGGACAGAATACGCATATCCCTTCTAAACCCTGCTTCGACAACCACGCTTCTGTGTTTATCCTTCGCATGCACAATAAAGCCCTGGCTTGTGTGCGAATTTGTGGCAAAACATAAGATACAGATAGAAATTGAACGAGTACGGAATGAGCATCAGCAATTGCACCGGTCTCCACATGACATCAAAATAACGGTATTGGTATATACAATAGGGATAACTGGACAGCGTTCCCAAGATTTCATTTATAACGGCCGGAGATTGCAGATCAAGTATGTTGCGACGGCAGCCAGCAGAATGTGAATACAACCAAAATCAGACATTTTCCCGCTGGCGCGTGTCCGATCCGTGCTGGTGATACTCGGACAAAAGGGCATGGTTTGTCGGTGGTGAACAATACACCGGATTACGCAAAGAGCGCAGATGAGCAGAATAAGAAATATGACAATGACTTCGCAGAGCTAAGATTAAAGCAACATATTATGCTGTTATTATGATTAACACTTTCGCACTGTATTAATGATAAGTGTAGTAATAAGAATTGTAATTTCTATTGTTATAATTTGAATATAAATACAGTTATGCAATATAATTATAATTATGCAGTAGAGCATACCTTGTAAAATCCATTAATATCACTCCACTTCTGCAACCAACCCGGCAGGCCAGGGATTATCACTTTGGGAGTATCTTCGCTAAACGCTTTGAGATCACGCGTTGCTAATACGTAATAGTGTACAACGGCTTTATATACACAGGAAAGCGCTGCGTAAAGCAGGATGCACAGGATGACAATTCGGGCACGCCGCGCAGCTGGTGGACCGTGATAGGAGAGCGGGTTAAACAACGCCTTTACACGCTCCACGGAGAACGCTATCAGGATCCTGGAAATTTTGTTTCTAATTAGTACGTGTCGGAAACACACATTCTAAAGCTTACCAGTCGGAAAATACAGGCCACATCATCTGCATCCAAATGTACCATCCCTGTGTATACGCGTTCATCTTTTCGTACGAGTAGTACTGCATGGTGAACATATCTGGATTCAGAATGAACATGTACTGCGGAAGTTGCATCCATCTGCAAAACTGTCGGTTTTAAATAATGCAAGCACACAGTAAAACAGAAACTGCAAATGCTTTATTAGTCGTACAATGTCAGAAGATCACCGACGGCTAGCGCAATAAGAAAAACGGTGGCACACTGTGGAGGTCTAATGCTGCTCAATACAGTAATATTCAAGAGATTCCCAAGAGTACAGATCAGGAGCAAAACTGGATAGCAGACAATAAAAATATATTGTGAACGGGCGACATGAGAGGCCAGTGGGTCATCGGTGGCATTGTCGCTCTGGTTACCGGTATCAACGTCCCACGGGCAACTTCCTGCCGTTATGTTATGCAGTGATGTGCTTTCATTCATAATCACACCAAACAATAATTAATGAAAACTTAAGAGCTGTTGATTTAAATTCGAGCCATGTATTACTGCGCGCTTCGATTTTGTAGTTTTTTCGTCAGGAAACGGCAGCAACACTAATTATACTTCATCAACTATACCACTAACTATACTAGCACTAACTATACTTGTACGGATAATTTAACAATCAACGTGTTAGCCATGAACAGAAAAGAGAAGTGTTACCGAAAAGGCGAAAACGAAGTCATAAATGAATGCAATAACACGAGTTGAAAAACATCACTTCTCCAGCAAAATGGCATTTTCCGTATCGCTGCCGGTCTGTTTTTATTGTTCCGCTAGTGATATTGTCACATTATTGTGAATGTTTGTGATGTTATAAGGCCGTCGACTGCAGTGTACTGCACGTACTCCCTCGCCTCATGGCTTTTCGGCAAACTTATTACGAGAAAGTATGGTATTTGGTATAAGAACGCTGTTGTGACTACGAAGTAAACAAAAACTTGCCAAGAGCCATTTCTCACGTTATGCTGCTGACAATGCTGTGCAAAATCGCAAAATCAAGTCATTATTCAAATGTACTGGTATGATTGGGCCATGTAAATGTGTAAATGCCACAATACGTATCAGTACGAAATAGGAATGCAGCTGCATTTTTGCAGTTATTGTTTACCACCTTTTACTTCAGGCAGTAACCAATTAACAAAACAGCCATCCTGCGCTAGTAGACCCTAATAAAAATATTATTAACACTTGTTTAAGGCTAAGTACAAAGTATAAGTATATATGGCATACCAAGGAATAGAAGTTTTTAAAAGGTCACAAATAAAGCTACAAAATACGCATCATGATATAAGTTAAGTACAAGATCAAACTTTAAGTTTCGTTAGGTACCTCTAAAGGCAATGTCTGTCATAATCTAATTTTAATCGCATGATTCGTATCTAAAAAAATATTACAAATTTACAGCAGTCTTTTTTCAGTTAAATATCGACTCTAGAAATATCGTAACAAAACAGGAACGAGGAAATTCAAAATAAATATCCGGTTGCGCGTACATGTATGCGCCTGGCCGCTAATATAAGCACAATCACAATCTAACATTTGTGACCTCCGTAACGTTGCACTCCGATAATTCTGCATCTTGTTTTAACTGGACTACTTTTGCACCGTTTGCGGTCTTTGACAGCAGTTCGCGATCTCTTTCCAAAATAATCATGGGTGCATCAGCCGATTCCCGTATTTTCAAGCTCGCTAGCGCTCTTTTACCGACTTCCGGACACCGCCGACAACAAGCGCCCATTCCTCTGGCAGATAGCCACGTCTCCATTCTGGCTTTTGTCTCCGTAAGCACCGCTCTGGTTTGGTTGCGAAAAGTGCAACAGAAACCCACATAGAGATAAAAGTTTATAGTGTATGGAACCAACATCAGAACACAGTTCGGATAATTGAGGATATTGCTAGCATAAGTAAACTGAAAAAGGCAGAGCGGATAGTTTGAAAGCTTTCCCAGGACATCAGTCACAGTCAGTGGGAATAAGCCGATGACGTAAGTCAGCACGGCACTGTGACGGCAGCCAAGAGGATATTTACACAGCCGAAGTCTACTGTGCTCCCACCGGCACGCTTGCGGTCGGTGCTGGTAATAGTTGGGCAAAAGGAGATCTTTTGGCGATGCCGAAATATACAGCGAATTATACAAATATTACAGATCAGCAATATAAGAAACACGACAATGACTTCGATGTCCTAGAAAGTAGAAACCGTACGAGTATTACCTAACTGAGCGCAGTGTAATAATAAAAATAGGACTGCTACCCGTACAGTGATTGGGCCGTTAGCTCGACCGTTAATACCGTACAGCTGGAATATTGTATATAATATAAGTAAGGTACATGGCCGCGCATCTCTCTATACCTTGTAATACATATTAACATCATTCCATGTTTGTAGCCAGTTAGGCGCTCCTGTTATAAACGCGTTGACTGAATCTTTAAGAAACGTTGGAATATCTCGTGTGGCCATTAAATAATACTGCATCACCATGCGGTACATATTGGATAAGGCTGCGCATACAAATACAAAACCAATGACAATGCGGGCTCGCTTTGCCGCCGGCGGACCACGGTACGACAGTGGATCGAATAATGCTCTAACCCGTTCCACGGAAAACGCTATTAAAATCCTAAAAAAATTAAATGAAGGAAACAGTTGAGATAATTTCTGTTACCTTATTCTACCGTCAGTAAGTTAAAATTATAGAAGAAGTAAGTTGTGATGTAAATCTGGTATAGGAATGGATTGCTGACAAAGTGACAACAATCAATACGTGTAGATTTACCAGTTTGAGAAGTCAAACCACATCAGTTGCATCCAGATGTACCATCCCTGCGTGTAGTAATTAATGTGTGCGTATGTGTATTTGGGATTACTGAAGATATCAGGATTGATTTCCCATATATAACGCGGCAGCTGCATCCACCTGGAAAATTATTTTAATGCAGTAACGGTTACAACTATAGTGACTGCAGCACCACCACATTAATATTAACTCCAGAATATACGATAAACGGAAGGAGGAATGACATACACAGCCAGTAAATCTCCCACGGCCAGTGCGATAAGAAAAGTGGTGGTGCATTGAGAATGCTTGGCCGTGCGCAACACAAAGATATTCATGACATTCCCGGTTGTACAGATGAATAGAAAAACTGGGTAAAAAACCAAAAGCAAGTATTGTAAACGAGAGACGATGGCATCTGACGTGTTGTCCGTAACATTGGTGCTTTGGTTCGTAGCAGCGACATCCCAAGAACATGCTTTTTCTGTGACATTCATTCGCCAGCGTACGTTTCTTTACAGCCAAAGTTAATAAAAACGACGGCATCGGATAATGGAGATCCGAAACCTATTCGTAATATTCTTTCCTATTTGTCGCGATAAGTGCTTATACTTTTATGCCGATAAAATTTCATTAATGGTTAGCTGGTCGGTTTTTCGTCTGCAGCAGTCAGATTGCAAGAGACTGAGCATTCAGTCAGGTTATATGCGGATATTTGAAAACAAACAATACGTACCAGCCCTGTACAGTTATGGAAAACTGACCCAGAGTTAGAGTTAGGAGTTATAGGAGCGTGCGAGTTACGCTACGAGTTACGCTATTAATGCAAGTAAACCGAGTTTCGAGTTATTCAGCGAGTTACGCTACCATAGACTATACATACAATTTTTGAGCGAGTTACGCTAGAGTTAAGTTTTCGTGGAGACGAGTTACGCTTCAGAGTTACGTTATAACTCGATAACTCGAAAATAACTCGCGTTACGTTAAATAGTTAAAAATAACTGCACAGGTTTGATACGTACCTTAGTATTCGCGCTGCGTCATTCATTAACTTGTTATTCACGTGAGTTTGAAATGAAACTGCATGTCTTCTGCGTACTACTTAATACTACGTGGTACTACTTAATGGTAGTGTAGCCTTGATTTGTGTTACTCTGGATGTCGGCTTATCTCGTTGCAGCACTTGCAAATTTCTACAGTTATGCCGGCAGGTCATTAGATTAAAAAAAAGCCTTAAGCAAACACCAGATCTTAAAGACGACGTATTGCCAGCCCGATATTTATATACAGTACTTGTTCCCCAAAAACAATTTCCTGAAATCAGCAGTCAGAATATACAAGTACACAAACTTCTGATAAAACTAATTCCTTAATTAATAAAAATTCTTTGTGACTTTTTTCTTCTTTTAGTGTTAAGTTCACTTACTGAACTTATAGAAGTTCACAGGTACCTACACAATTTTTCGGTTTTACAGCTGGGTATTGCTTACCTCGGCTACGATTAATTTTACCAGATTATAGACTGCCGACAGAAGAGTTACACTGAGCGTTTATCGGATTTATACTTTGTTCAAATCGATAGTTGATGACATTAACTTTGATGACCACTTGTCATGTTTGCCGCTTTACAGATACAGCATGAAGACTTAGTAAGGTTAACTGGTTTAAGCACAATGTGAAGTAAGGTTATCATTCATGCTTTTCTGTTTTGAAACTTTTATTTGCAAGGACACGAGTTAAAGCTTAGCTTTAGCAGCTTGCATTCGAGAAAGAGAATTCTTAAATACTGCATTGAGGCTGATTAATGTTCATGCAGTTTCAGTGCATTAGTGATTTTAACCAGCACACATAAATAAATTTGCAAACGGCGGTTCGCTCTGTTCGCTGTATACGAAATATGTGTCGAAAAAGTGAATGACATGGGTGCTTGAACAAACAATCGTTTCTAAAACGCTTGGAAAAAATTAGTATGTACTCGTCAACTTCACTTATTGTCGATTAGCCGGCAACAAATGACTTTCGGTCGCAAATCAGCTAACCGGGATGACCTGCGGATCCTGGATTGAATTTCTTGCCTGTAAAACAGCAGAGACTTCAAAGGCAAAATAGTAAGTTAGTTATTATAGCAACTGGCGAACAGACTACGAAAGTTACTTATCTTTATCACAAGTGCAATTGAATTTTGTATAACAACTGTCTTACAAGTGTTGTCGGTAACAGGATCGGATGAACCATCATCAAGCCCAGTCGAAGATCGATAAACTACGAATAGAAGCAGCGTTAATGCAGAAAGAAATTCTGTCAAATTATGTGAACGAGTACAGAAAGTACCACAAGAACTGTCATCATTTGCCGAATATCCGTAACCAGAGGTGCTACCGGTTAATGGGACGCCACATGTCAGACCTGGGGACTGCGGACTGCATCCGTACGCCTCATTAATCCGCTCGTAATCCAGGTCGCTTAATACTGTAGCCGGCCGGATAAGCCCGGATAGTGTTATGGAACCGGCGTTCTGGAGTGTGAGCGTTGTTATCACCGGTTTCTGGGGATCGCGAGCAAAAGCTTCACTCGCGTAGTGCATAACGGACCGAATGTCGTAAGGGATGCGACGATACCAGGAATTCCTTCGTGAGTATTTGGCAAACTGGCCTCGAACTGCGTTTATTTAAGTACCAATGATTCATCTGATAAGGTATTTGGTAGTGTTTAATTTAAAATGAAATGCCCAATATGTTTCAGGATAGCTTGCCATCAGTAAAACCAAGTTCTCTCATACATACATTTTGCCTCCACATTGTCCAAATCTATTTTTATAAATTCATCGCGATCCATTCTGGTATGTTCATGAAGAAAACCTGAATAACGGTAAACAAAAGAACAATTCAATATGATTAAAGCAATTTTCTGCATTAATGCACTGTACCTAAAACGTGGAGTAGTTCGTGTTCTGCAAAAGCAGATAATGGTCGACAAAACAAAATTAATAATGATAGCGGTGCAGACAACAGCAGTGCACTGTTACAAGTAGTAACCAGTTTCTCTGACCTACGCTTGTTCCGTTGAGACAGCTTTGGCCGTTTTCATTCAGAATCTCAAGAGATACCAGCTGTTTCCCGCCTTGCCGCCCGACATATGACCAGCACCTTAAAAAATGCAGAAGGATAACGGTTTTGTACTTTGCTATTAATTACTAACGGTTTTGAAACAATAATCTATTGCTCTCACCCATGGCGACTAACAATCTTAATAAAATCCTTTTCGTTTGACCGCGGGAAGAAGCGGACACAGGTCCGGTTACCGATACTGCACATTCGTTGGGTTATAAATGCCACTTGATCAGATGCTGAATCAACGATAACCACATTAGCAACGCCTTCCAAATTATAAGTCCATTTCCAGTAAAGGTCATGTCTGGGAGAGTTCTAGCTTATAGTCTACTCCAGTGGTCAGTAATGATCAAGCTTACCAGTTAATGCAACAAATACGATGGAAGTCAATTGTTCCTTTAATTATTTTCGCGACTTGGCACTTACAAAAGACAGCGTCAATAACATATGGTACTCCACCGGCCCAAATACCGTGGTTTCCACACACCTAAACGAATATTAAAATTAATTTGTACAGGGATAATTATAGGATTTATACGAGTATGTATAGGGCGCGGTGTGCTCGACTGTGTGCACGACACGTTTACCTGTCGTATTCCATTTATATCCGTTGTGGAAGGTGTACGGAATCTACGGATATCACCTTCCACTAATTGGGGGGACTGTTTAAGATCGTCATTGACGAAATAATTTTCGATTGGTGCATCGCCCTTCACTAAAACGATAATTATTCTATAGCCATATCCTTTCGGTCACCATTACTATAGAGAAGCAGTAACGATTGTCCCTGATTCCACCGTGCATGCATCTAAATCTGGTACATAGTACATACTTATTTATGTCGGCTGATTCGTCAATAACATGTGAGCAAAAAGTGATAAGTCCTATGATAATTACGCATAAAGCCAACCACAACCGGTACTCGTACCTTTGTCTAATGAGAGATCGTAGGGCATCTCTATTGGACATCCAACGTAATCTCTCAAACCCGGTGGTAACTCAGCACAAGACGCTATCGAAAGAAAGATGCGCACTTTATTAGTTTTTTGCCGATTATGTTATGAACATCTTTGTGGCTGTCATTCGTCAGCGATGGAACCGGCACAAATAATCGCATACAGCGGATCCGCCTTTACTTTAGCCTACATGCGTAAACTTCCCGCTCTTTTTCGCTCTTCAGTGAGGGGTTTAATGGGCAAGCAGGATGGGGTGCGTCCTGTTGTTTGTTTCCCGGGATGCGTGGTGCAGCAGTCGAATGGGTGGTTGTACTTGTGAGCGTCCTTGTAGTGGTAGTTATAGACTTGGTGACGCGCGTTACAGGGCTTGAGTTGGCATGTTGGCTATAGAAGCTGCCACCTGCCGTGCTGTGAGCCCCCGACAAAAAACAATAGCAACGAAAACAGAATTTCTTTGGTTTTATCCTTAAAGACTTTGTTGAATATACAAAATACGATTATAGAATGATTTTAAAGAAAAAGTATTTGATACAACAACCGATTTATATTTAGTGCAATATGTCCAGTGTTCCCATTTCACATACTTCTTTGGAGCGTATGCGGTCTCACTTGGCTGTCCATATACTGGCACCACTGACTTGTAATCACCTGGGTTGTTGTAACTTGCGGTATATCCGCTACTGTTTGTAGAAGTATACTCTGAGTATCCCGAATGTTGAGTATAGTTGGACGAACCAGCCCTAGTTCCGTCACCATAGGTGCCCCTGGGCTTGCCCCTTCCAGGGAATAAACTAAAGCTGCCGCGGTTGAGATAATGATTATCACATGCATATCGGTAAGGATTTTGCAAAATCTCGAACTAATACTGCTGGAAAAATATTAAATACTTTCTGTTTCTGTAGTTGTTGTTGCATGTATATATCGTCCGTTGTTTTCAATGGGAGCTAGTAAAATTTTCGCAGCCCGTATTACTGTAAACTGACGACAAAATAATTTGCACACATTCTCCGCTATATATAATATTAAAACATTCTTGTACGATATATCCGCAGAACGCAGGGTAGCACACCGAAACGTCTTTTGGGGTATGTATTAACATTACGTAAACGTATACAAGGTAAATACCTGTTATTAGAATACTCGTAAGGAAATATAAAATGGTAAACAAGTTTTTTGTCAAATTATTGCACCCAAGTGCTCAGCTTAAGTAAGCAATTTAATGTTTTTCACCCTTTACTTTGTTTGACCAGTTTTTTATATCTGCCGAAAAATAGCTTGCGGATATTTTGATTTAAATAGCCTTATGCATAAGTGTCTGTAAGTGTTTCAAATTCGGACGGCTTTGCTGCGATGAATTCCGACCCAAGGAAAGCATCCAAAATGTATTATGATTGCGTTGTTTCAGATGAATAAATCCGCACAATGTTAGTATGTTTTTATTAAAACTGATTCTGAAAACACGAGCAGGTCGAAAAGCTCGTCAACCATACATTACCACCATTAAAACTGGTATCACAACTAGCGAAAATCCAATTCTATGCAATTCAGACCACTTTTTGATTTTTGTACAACAATGATGATCACCATCATTTATAGTGTAATACGCAAAGCAAACGATCAAAAACGTCATCTAAGCGAGCAAGCTAACCAAACAACAGATCTACCAAAGATGGCTGGACACCAAGCAAAAGAATCTGTAGAATGCCCACTGTAAGCAAGGATTCCCAAATCCGCACTCTGGTCAAAACTGCAACGACATCCGCAGAACTTAATGTGCAGTTCAGATTAACAAGAGCACATCACGTTCCCATAAAATCGTAAATCACCCAAGGAAGGTTTTATGCGTGCACAAATACATTCTTACTTCGGTACACTTGACTGCCAGCAATCCATTGCAGCAGCAGACATCCCCACCAGATATACTGCGGCTGACTTTGAGACATCCAAATAATGGCCGGAAGACGCAGAAAGACCGGATACAAAGAGATCATCATGCCGGTTAAAAAGACGGATTGCGGAGCAGACGGGACACATCGATCTGCAGAAACAAATATTAATGCAAAATTCATTTGGCAAAGAATTTTTTAAGCTGCTAAGCACAGTATCTGCCATTCCGCAAGCTAAAATCTGCAGGGGTTAATTCACAACTTAATTGTACATACTCTGTATATACCTCAGAAAGCGGCTTTTAAACGAAATACAGCCCTGCCGCGCCACGTTTGACAGTTGCGTGCAATAAATTACAAAATATTTCCTTATATGGTTTCGTCTTTGTTCCTGCACTTTTCTAGTGTAACTTCATTGCGTTTTATTGCCGATCCAGCAATATTAAAATCGATACGGTCTGATACGCCAGTAGCGAGCTAAGCGGTGAGTTAAGGGGTGGGCTGGTGGCCATTTCTAGAATGCTTTATAATAGCAGCCTTAGCTATACCTGGTAACTACTCTTAAAAAAAACTTCGCCCAGCAACCTAATTTTGTGGATTTTGTGAAACTGTTGAGTGGCCCAAAGGTGTCCGTTACGGGTGAACAAAAGAAGCTTGGATTACCGGTGCTCACTTTGACTTCGAAACAATGAGTCACTCCCTGCATAGACCTGCCGAACAATAGGGCTGCCCAGCGCACAAGCGTTGGTAAGGTTGAGTTTATGTTATCCATGGATGACACATGGATGATACTAGACTTTTTAAAATTTTGAAGGTTATCAACTACACAGACGGGGAGATGAGGGTGTCAAATAAATGGCCAACAACTCGGCAAAGCTGGAGCTAAAAAGAGTTATCTTTATTGCTTCACTTTCTCGACAGAACTGCTCGGACTTATTCTGTGGACAGAATAACTTAAATTAACACCCAGTACTCCTCAAACACGAATCGCTCTAAAATGGTCATCTATGACAACTCGCGGCTGTACTGCGAGCATGCAAAGAAGGTCACCCTAAAATTTAGCAGTGCCCGCAGTCAGGCTGCAAAGGTCACGCAGGCTTAGTTAAAATCGACTGGTATCTAAATTTTTTTCAAGAGCATTGAATGAGAAACAGTTTAGAGTTATCGGTTTTTCACTACGGTTGCAAAAGAAATTTTAAACAAAAACGTAGACGTAGACGATGGCTATGAAAGTAAATGGGTCGAGCCGCTTTTTTTAGCAGGTCGGCTTTAGTTTTTAAATCACCGAAACTCGAATGATCACGCTATGACTGAGGAAACCTGGAGTGCAAAAGATGTGGGACACATATGGGGATACAAGAAACATAAAATAAGTTTTTATTTGTTGACGAACGACTTGTTGTGATTTTGGGGAAAACTGTCCAAACTTAGCGCGGTAGGGCTGTAGTTCAAGAAAATTCCGACTTGAATAAAATAACGAATGATGTTTTACCTTTTGAAATACGGTGCTGTCGGATTATGCCAATTGCTGTAGCGGACAGAAGGTACACAGCGTTTGCTACAAAACAAGCAAAAATTCATCAAAATACACAATTAAGCATATCAGGCAAGCTTTACAAGGTGCCGATGCAGTTTAAATATCAAATAACGATTGCTAGAATATACGGTGCAGTGTCGGAACTTTTAATACGGATTTTCGTTCACCCTGGCACTTCAGCATTCTTAACAGCTGACATCCGATAAGAAAAGTTAATAATATAACAGTGAACTGTAGTCTGTGTTAAGCACTACAAGCCCGAAAGCGGCGGAAAAAGCGCAAAAGTGATTGAAGAGACTGTTCAGGGTTAAAGCAAAATGCGCAGAATGCTATACCTGCAAATGATACAAGAAGCCGCTTATGGAATTCCCACTCGAGGAGATCTACGGAAAGCGCACTGGATTCTTCCATATCCCTGGAACGCCAGGAAATCCAGTGCACATAGCCATCAGCCATCACCACCACGAGGACAAACTTCCACAGCAGCTACTGTCCAAAAATTCAAGATTTTTCACATTTTTCTTATTTTGCTTGAATTTTTGGACTACATATAAATTTCTACAAGTAAAAAGCCACAGTAAAAAAAATTATAAACTGCAGCAGCTGGTTAATAACTCTCCATATGAGCATATGAACCAAAACTAAAAAACATTTTTTTCGTTACTAAATTATAGTGTTGCAACAGTGGAAGCCTGGTGGGCAACTATGAGGTTTCAAGCAATCATACTATTATTCTGCGTCATAAACGAACCAGTAATCCACTGTTGAAGATAACATGTCGGTACGCGGGTCGTTTTTGCAAGAGGATGTCCAAAAATACGGATAAATTATCATATTCCACATAATCATCTACGTATTCCTTGCAGCGGTGCTGAAAAGTTTAACTGAGTCATGATACTGCTATAGAGATACAGCTGCTTTAAAGAGAGAAGTATAAAGACACACACAAACAGTGTAAAGACTTTTTCAGGTGCAAACTGAACAAAAGAGTGAAAAGACCCGTATGGAAGAGGGACTTACACAGGACTGGAGTTTCGTTACTCCCGGACTGTAATGGATGAACAATGAATCTGCAGGTTCCTCGCATTTTATGCAACGATAAGTCGGCATCGTAAATCGAAAACGACGAAAGAAAACCAACTGTGAACTATTAATAAACTGAAATTGAAAGGTTCGAAGTAGGTAAATAAAAACATTTCCACTTCTGATTCTAAATTTTCTATTAAAGCAATAAAGAATAAAGTGCATTTGAGGTGACAGCTTGATCTGATGTACTGTACGTACGATGCGTTATTACAGGGTGCTCAGCCTAAGCGTGCCAATTACGCCTCACCGGAAGTTATTTTCTGTAGTTGAATACTGGTATTATACTGCATGTTATTTTAAGTTACAAAAAGGTGCTAATAATACTCATATTGTATTACAAAACACTACAATTCATTATGTTCACGTTAATAATTAAAATGTATTTTGCTTTCCCATTTCATAACGGTCTCATTAGTACTGCCTTTGTACGCGTATACGCCGTATAGGCATATTAGTGCTTTTCCGGTTACAACTCTGTAGGTTTTGAGCGCTTTCTGCTGATGGACAATTTCCGTATAGTAACTGGCAGCAGACGCGGGTTGCGCAAAATCGTTCCAGGGTATGCAAAAGAAGAAAGCAATCTACTACACAAGCAGCGAACAAAACGCAGTTCTTTCATTTGAAAACTGTTTTGTGTTTTAATATCGATTCGGAATAGATTATCTAGATTCTAGAGAGAATAGATTATCTATTGGGAAAAGACTGTCTGATATCTGGATATTCGTCATTCTTTAGTAGAATTGTGCAAGTGTCTTCGGATTTCTTCTGCGGACCAGAAGAATGCAGAATGCGGCTGCAGATCCCGCTGCGGGTTACGGAGGATTCGCTGGCGCATTGATCCGGAGAAAGAGGCCCGTTTCCGTGCTACCGTCCAAGAGTACATGGATTTCTTAGATGATGCCCAGGACCGCCGCATATACAGCGAGCGCATTAACCAGATGATCCAGAATGAGCAGATTAGACTGGAAGTGAACGTCAACGATCTCCGCGCTGTCAATCCCGGACGATGCAACAGGTGCTGCTCTATTTCTTGAATTTCATTTATCTGCTGTATTTTTTGTCATTTGGTATTTCACCGTATTTGGATCGATTGCAATTTGTTACGAGTGTGGATTGTTTTGTAGTTTGCTGAAAGACAGTGTAGAAGAAGTGAATGCCTTTCAAGCAGCACTGCGCAACTGCATTCAGCGCTCCAGCAATGTGTATGCCAGGAATCACGAGAATTTCTTCGTTGGCTTATGTGGAAGGTAAATTGTCATAGGTAGCATCATCACGTATTGCGAATATTTCCTAAAATAATTTCATAAAGATCGCGAGAAGTTCTACATTTTACGGCAGTATCACAAATTGCAAAAATTTCGTTTTATTAGAAAGATTACAGGATAGCGAGAAAATCCATGTTTTTCTCAATTCTTTACAGTTTCGGGGCGCGACACGTTTCACCGCGCACACTGCAGGCCAAATTGCTGGGTGGAATTGTCTGCGTGGAAGGCATCGTCACCAAGTGCACCATTGTGCGGCCCAAGATTGTTCGCAGTGTGCACTACGCACCGAAAACTGGGAAGACCATCGAGCGACGCTACACAGACCTGATGAGCGGCGGGATGCCACCAGTCGCATGGCCTATCCCACCAAGGACGACGAAGGCAACCCGCTGGAGACCGAGTATGGGCTGTGTGTTTAAAGATCATCAGATGTTCACCATTCAAGAGCTACCGGAGAAGGCACCTCCAGGTAATTCTCAGTAGAAGAAATCGTGCTAATGCTTAGAAATTCACGCATTTTGGAATTCGAAAAGGATCGACTGAGACAGTTTGGCATCGCGATATTTCAAAAATTTGAATCGCTAAAAACAATTTAAAAATGCGAAATTTGTTGTCGAATCTGAATTCTAGAAAAGAATTCAGTACCGTGAAAAACAGAAATTGTGCAACATCAGTTGATATGTGTATCGGTACTGAAGTATAGTATATAGTATCTATACGTAAAATACGCGTATGCATTTATTAAAAATTTACATGCTGCTTGCGATTTTCAAGATTTAAGCGTTCTTCTGTACCTTTCTGTACGTATTACTAAATTTACTACAGTTCTTATCTGAATTATTTTAGAATTTAATTTTTCTTGCAGTTGGTTGTTTAAATCGAATAAAACAGAATGCTTGTGTCCAAGTTTTCGTCTTTATGAATATGTGCAATGCCTCCATCTTTAAAAAATGTGGCATTATTTCAGGTCAGCTCCCAAGATCTGTGGAAGTTGTGGTGGAGGACGATTTGGTTGATTTATGCAAGCCGGAGATCGTGTTTTGGTGGTGGGAACTTATCGCGTTATTCACAATCAGCGTCAAGGATATTTTGCTGGGAATTCCGGACTGTTATTATCGCTAATTTTGTCGTGGAGCAGCATAAGGAAAACGCGCCGATCTTTACGCAAGCCGATTCTCACCGTATTCGTAAATTTGCTCAACAACCGGACGCTTTCGAGGTGCTAGCACGATCTGTGGCCCCGTCGATTTACGGCAATGATTACGTGAAGCAAGCGATTTTGTGTTTATTGTTGGGTGGACAAGAAAAGGTACGGTTTAATATCCTTTAATTTTCTTTTGTAACGAACGCATATAATTACTGTGAAATTTCCTTGAAAGGCTTACGAAGGCTTTATTATTCGTAAATTGAATCTTAATTGCAGACTTGGATTCTTAGAGCATACGTTTGCTTGTTGATTTAGAAATTACGAAATCATTTATTTTGTTACGGTTGCTTAAAATTGCTTGGTTTTAGCCAATGGTACGCGTTTGCGTGGCGATGTTAACATACTACTAATTGGCGATCCTTCGGTAGCGAAATCCCAAATGCTGCGCTTTGTTTTACAAATTGCCAATGGCTATCGCTACAACTGGGCGAGGAAGTACGGGCGTTGGTCTGACCGCTGCCGTGACGACGGATGAAACAGGCGACCGACGTTTGAAGCTGGTGCAATGGTTCTAGCGGATCGAGGTGTCGTGCATCGATGAGTTCGATAAAATGGCGGAAGAAGACCGTACAGCCATACATGAAGTTATGGAGCAAGGTACAGTACGTGGTTTACTAGATTTATTTGACCGTACGGCAGTAACACACGCTATTCGGCATCAAACTGTGCATACAACGATGTGGCTTATAAACAGCCTTACAAAGAATAAGAATGCTTCGGGAATGAGAATGAGAATTTTTAATCCATGCAGATTCACACCAAGCGATAGCAAGCACAGTGGGCATACAACCACACTCAACACATTAAGTTTGAACCAAAAATTAGGAAATGAACTGTATATTAAAATTTAAAGGTATGAAAAAGGTGACAATCACTTTCGGTGCGCTTACGTTTTATAATAAAATCTTTCTTTCGATCTTCCGGGAAGTCGAAATCGTTGGCGTCACGGAACTCCATCCGATCCCAACAGGAATAGCCGGCCGATATCTTTCAGATTCGCGCGGTTGGCCCATCGACAAACAGTAGAGCTTTCCGGGTGTTGGTGGTGTCCACCCAGACGAAGCTCTCCTTCCAGTCCGTTCCACCAGTGTTGCCCTTCGCCTTCAAAATCTCTTGAAGGAAGGAAAGGTCTTTTCCGTTCGGAACATTGCAGACGCAAATCCAATAATGCGACACGATCGAGGCCATTTCTTGTCCGATATCGAATAAAATAAAGAATAAAAAACTAAGTGCAGCCGTGAGGTTTACCACTTAAGTCGGATAAAACTTAACGAGGTTGTCGCTAGTGAGAATGGCTAGTCTGCGTCGGAGGGTTTTTATAGCTGGATTTTTCTAAACTTTTTTTGTACCGACTTCGTATTTGTATGATTTACATTAGCGAATCATTATCGAGCTCAGTTGTGATCGGTATATCCTTCGGCCATTCATCGCATCATTTTTTTATAATTTTAAAGATTAGGATGTACAGAGCGCCTAATCAGTACAAGTATAGCTTGCACCGTACCACCTTTAAGAAGCGATTAACTTTTGTGTAGGAACATACCACAAATTCAGAATTTGCTTTGACCGAGATGATCTGATTATTACTATTGTTTCAGGGCGTGTCACCATCTCGAAAGCTGGGATTCATGCAAAGCTCAACGCCCGCTGTTCTGTACTGGCGGCTGCTAACCCTGTATACGGTCGTGTAAGTGGGACAACTGGTCATTGAATCTTTACCTCATGAAACTAACATTTTGCATACCCCGTTTGTTTTTCTGTGTTTATAGTATGATCCGTACAAGTCCCCTATGGACAACATTGGAATGCAGGATTCCTTGCTTTCTCGATTCGATTTAATTTTGTCATGACGGACAAAGCGGATCAGAGCAGGATCTGATTTTGGCTGACCACGTTGTCCGGATGCACCGCCATGCGCCGCGGGAGAGTTGGATGGAGAGCCGACGCGGTTGAACATGGGTGTCGATTGGCTGTCCACTAATATGGTCGACACAGATGATTCTGATCAGCGGCGTTCAGGGCAGATCTACGAAAAATACGATTCTATACTCCATGGTCCGCGCCGTAATCAGTACGACAAAGTGTTGTCGAAGCAGTTCTTGCGGAAGTATATCAGCATTGCCAAGAACTGCACGCCTAAACTGACGCAAGATGCCTGCACACTTATTGCCGAGGAATACGCAAAACTTCGCTCAAGATCAGGTACAAATACGAGGATAATAAAGTATTTTATGATCGACGTGAATGCGAAGAAACGAAAATCAAGCGTTGATCAAAATTGTGGTGTATACTTGTATTATTTTACAAAGTTTCAAGTTTCGTTACTAGCATTTTGATAAATTAACGATTTGGTATTTGACTTTTAATTTGTCGCTTTAGGTTGGCGCTGATGTTGCTCGTACTCAACCGGTAACAGCCCGCGCTCTGGAAACCATGATTCTGTTTGGCAACGGCACACGCCAAAAGTCGGCTGCAGCGCACTGTCGAGCAAGCTGATGCCCAAGCTGCTTGCGATATGGTCCAGTTTGCGTTGTTCAAGAAGGTAAAGCGAAAGAAGAAGAGGGTAAAGATTTAATCAGCGCAGATGTACACAGAATGCTTTTAATACCTAATAATTCATGTCGCGCAACAACGGTTTTATGGAAATTAATCTGCATTAAAGGC